TATATATATATATAGTATTTTATATATATATATAAATACAAATTTAATACTAATACAATTTTATTTTATTTATAAAATATATTAATATAAATATATTGAAATACAATTTATAGATAATAAGTACATTTATATTTATTGTATAAACTATTATAAATTAAATAATAATATATTATATAATTGATATATACCAATTAGAAAGTAATAAAACAGTAGGACGTACATATATATATATATATATATATATTTCGGGTTGTATTTCGTCGAAGAGAGGAAAGAATTTTAATTGCATCGTAAACGTACTTTGTCCCATGTCCGTAGTCGTACTCGTCGTCTATGTCCTGTGAAACGCTAGAAACGACGGACAACGAGGAACGATGAGAAGGCTGTTAGAGGTAGGAGTTATAACAAGGGAGGAAGAGGACGAAGAGGAAGAGGAGAAGGAGGTGGAAGAAGGGGGAAACATGAAGGACGAGTCGACGTTCATAAGGGAATAGTGTCGAGAAGCAGCAGAATCAGTATTGTCGACCTCTCTGTGTCCGCACACGTGACCTCTTCGCACGGAGTACCGTATGCGATGAAGCACGCAATAAACTGAGGGAGAGATGAATAGATAGATAGATAGATAAAGATAGAAATAAAGAGAGAGAGAGAGAGAGACAGGAAGAGCGTGAATTTACGAAAAAAAAAAAAAGGAAAAAGAGTACTATTTATGATGCTATCAATATTCAATCTCTCCAGAGACGAGCAAATATGTGATTCTAATTCATTGCCAATATGTTCGCGCATCCCTTGTTCGATCTTGTCAATCCGAACGACACGTTATCCCTCTTTTTCTCTTTTATGCAAACGATCCGCTCGCGAGCGCGACGACGACAACACCGTTACAAATTTCAATCCGTGTTGTTGCTTGCTGATCGATCATTCTCAATAGACTGAACATTGTCTTTTTTTTTTCTTTAAAAAAAAAAAAATCCATCTGTTCGAAGCTTTTTCTTATTTACCAAAAGTTTAACACCTAAATAGTTAGGGGAAAATTTTAAATCTATAAAATATTAAATAAATTATTATTTATCTTTATATATACAAATTTAGAATTAAAATATATATTAAAATTCACAACTTAGAATATAGGATAGCTTTTTATCGCAATTATTTGTTATTTTTTATTGCTAATTTAAGGATTCGTTATTTAGAGGTTATCTAGGTCTTTAAGTATTGTAATTTTTCAATAGATGGTGCTGTATTACAATTCAATTATTTCAATTTACATAAGACTTCTTTACTTTTCCTTACTTTTTATATTTTTCCGTGTATTAGTACTTTATGTCTTCTATTACTAATTGTGTTATTATTCTGTGTATTTTTATAATTGTCTAAATAGTTTAGAATTATATTAAATCAATATTTTATAACAAAACCAGTGCAACCCCTGACCAAAACATCCTAGTATATATATATATATATATATATATATATATATATATTTGTTGTTGATAAAACGTTTCATTGATATTTTATCGATATTTAATATCTATTTGCAAATAAATGTCTTACGACGTTTTATCAAGTGAAAATCCTTTCATCGATAACGACTAGTTCGATAATTAATAAATGACATTCGCAAGTTATATCGAATCTTTGAACCGAATGAAATTAGTTAAAGTTTAATCCTCGTTATTTACGCTAACGTGTAATATTTTAAGAGTTGAAATTACTATTACTCATGCATAGAGATTGTATTTTACATTTATACACATACATACTTATATAGTTATTGCCATGGAAGTATTAATGAAAATGATAGAAAATCAAGCGTAATCTCCTAGGTGAACAACTTGACGATAATAGAACGTAGTTGAGTTTTCATCACTTTCTCTCTCTCTCTTTCATTCAAACAAAAAAAACGACATTCCATCACGGTGATGGAATTTTGCTCCTTCTTCGATACTTTTAAAAATGATAACACGGTATATAACGGACCAACAGAGTTCGTTTCTAATTACACATATGATACGAATTGCTAGTGACTGTAAAAACTCTCTGAAGGGAAAGAAAGAAAGAAAGAAAGAAAGAAAGAAAGAAAGAAAGAAAGAAAAAGATAGAAAAAAGCCCTTCAGTACCAATCGTAAACGTAATACTACTACTACTACTACTACTACTATTACTACTACTACTACTACTACTACTTCAAGAATAAGCTACCTATTTGAGAGATCTGTCGTGAAAGTAAGTGGAAAAAAGAAGATGAATCAAGAAATGTAACTATACTGCTAAGTAGATAAAAGGAAAAGAAAGAAAGAAAGAGACAGAGTAAGTAAATAAGATAAAAAAAATAAAAAACAAAAAAAAGTAGAAAAATTAGAAAGAAAATAGGAAAATGCGAAGAAGGGTGGCTGCTAGCTTCTGTCAAGGCGAATTACCAGTAGGCAAAAATTTGAAAAATCTTTTAAACAAGCTACAAAAGTAAAAGAAAATAAAAAGAAAGAAATGCACAAAGAGATAGAAAGAGATAGATAGAAAGAGATCAAGTTAGTAAAAGGAAGGATGTCTGTAAATGGAGGGGTGTCATTAAGACGCTACGAAGAAAAGAAAGAGAAGAAAGGGAAGGAAGGGAATCAAAAAAGAAAGAAAAAGGAAAATAGAATGCGAGCAGTACCATGTTAGCTGTCGCTCCGAGAATCTTCCTGTTCACGCTCGGATCTGCTGTACACCCTTCTCTTCTTCTTCTTCTCTTTTTATACCTCCTCCCCCTCTTCCTCCTCCAACTCCTCCTGTTCTTCTTCTTCTTCTTTTTCTCTTTCTTTTGCTTCTTCTCTCTGTTCCGTTCCCTTTGGCACTTGGTACAGCTTCCACTAATGGCCGAGATCAACGACGAGTACGAGTACGACGAGTACGACGAACCGCGTCGTCAACGACACGAACCCAGGAGAAGAGGTGAAGAAGAAGTAGGGAGAAGGTGGAGGTAATAACTGTACTCCGGAGGCACGTTTTACTCTTGGAAACCGGGCGTCACGAGATAGAACGTTAAGCTGACTACTCTGTCTCTCTCTTTCTCACTACACACAAGGATTATTCTGATGTAATTTGAAAAATACTCACACATATACATATATATACATACATGTATGTATGTATATTTTACGATCGATGTTGTTCGTTCGCCGTGAGAACGTATACTGACTTTGCCAACAGCTAACAGTCATTGACGTACTACCGATACGATATTTATGTTTACCAATACAGAATTTATATGCATATATGTTTCTAGATATGAAATACTGTTTTCCTTGAATTGTTCCATAGTAGTAGTGTGTTTTTTATTTATTAAACAATTTATTTATCTGACATATGTATTAGTAACGGTTGAAACAATCGATCTGTCTATTTATCTACCTACATATCTTTACCTAGTCTCTCATTGGTATTTAATGAATGACTTTAAATCGTGAAATCGAGCAATTACAATACAATTACTATTTTCCTTGAATCATTCCCGAGTTCGTGTTTTTTATTTATTAAAAAAAAAATTTCTTATTTAAAAATAAAAATAAAAATTAAAAATTTATTGATTTGACATTTATATAAACTACATAGGCAGATAAATATACCGATATCTAATTATAATATATACCGATATCTCTATCTAGTTATCGGTATTTAATCAATAACTTTAAAATTAAATTAAGCAATTAGAATAGAATAATAGAATAGTATTTATATATATATATATATATATAACTATTTTCCTATAATTGTTTTTTTATTTCTATTTTTATTTATATATAATTGTATTTTATAATTGTATTATATTTATTTGTAATTGTATTATAATTATATTTGTATATTATTTATATATATTTGTATTTTATTAATATATATATTTTTTATTTATTAAATTTTAATTTATTAGGTTTACATTTATTTGTATTTTTATTAATTATTTATATTTATTACTTGTATTTGAATATATATTTATTATTATTCTTATTGTTTTTATTTGTATTTATATTTAATATTTGTATTTTTTATTTATTAAAAAAAGAATTAAAAATTTAGTTATCTGACATTTATATTAGTAACGATTAATGCAATCAATCTATCTATCTATCTATTTATCTACTTACATATCTCTAACTAGTCATTGGTATTTAATCAATGACTTTAAATCGTGAAATCAAACAATTACAATACAGTATTCATATATATATAACACTGTTTTCCTTGAATCGTTCTCGAGTTTGTATTTTTAATTTATTAAAAAGTTTATTTGTCTGACACGTTTATTAATAACAATAAAAGTAATGTATCAATCTATTTATCTGCCTCTATCTAGTCATCGACATTAAAACGAATGACTTTAAATCGTAAAACCAAGCGAGCGTGATAAAACGATACACTTACTTTAGTTTCCCTTACTTTGAACGTATTTCTCTACCAATATTCTTTTTCTTCTTCTATTTTTCTTCAACTTCTTTTCCTACTTTTCTTTTTTCTTTATTTTTTCTTTTTTTTCTTTTTTTACCTTATACTCCTCTTCTTTCTTTTCTTTTCTCTTTCAGTTTAAAAAGTAGTATATATTCGAGAGTATGGTATATATCCACTCGAACGGACACTTTTCCGATTCGTAACTGATTGTAAGTTAAATTCTTCAAATCGATACTATTCATTCTTTATTTCATTCTTTGTTTCTTTCTTTGATTCTAATCCGAATATCTCTCTCTCTCTCTCTCTCTCTCTCTCTCTCTCTCTTTCTCTCTTTCTTTTTCGATACTAAAATTTCTTCTTTCAAACATTTTTCTAACAGTCGTATTTTTTTTCTTTCCTCTCTTCTTCCATTGTAAACAATCTCCACAATGTAAATTGTGGAAAAACGCGTACCGTTAATTTTCATACTCAACGATTTGAATATCCTTTATTTAAATTCGTCTTGAAATAAAATCGCGTCTAGCACGCTAGAAAAATTGCGTATTTTAAAAATCGCGTAGAAAATAAGGAAAAGAAGTGACTAAGAAAAATTGTTCTTTTCTCTCTTTACGAATGAAGAGTGTGAGGGATATATTTTCTTCGTTGAATAAATTATACTTTTGATTTTTCTCACACAAAACATTTTCTATTTTGATAATATACGTATGCTTGCTTTTCCGTTGCCAAGAATACCCAAAACTAAAAGGTAGAAATTTATTTTCAAAATTATTACCTCAAATAGAAATTAAAAATAAATTATTAGCTTAAAAACGATACTAAATAATATCAATACGAATTTAATTAAAATAATTTATTTTATCGAAAATAAACTGTCCGATAAATAAACGTTCGAGTACGATATCTATATATATATATATTCTTTTTTGTTTTTCTATTTAATAAAACACAAATAAACAAATAAAACTATGCTGTTATCGTAAAATTAAATAATATTATATCCCATAAATTTAGTCGATGTGAACATTTTAATGCTAATTAATTTCTACGATCAAAAAAGAAAAGAAAACACGATAATGCAATTCCGATAGTAATACCCAGGAACCCTCCACCCCCCACCCCCCTAAAAGTTTTTCCATGGTATATATTAAGAAGGGATTTTTTTGTTCTTTTATTTTTTTATTTTTATTTCGATTACTTCAGTCAGTAGAGAAATTTAAAAGTTGAAATACCTAAGGCGGGGAAGGAACGTTCCTTTTAGAAAAATTCCTTTCAGACTTCACAACCCACGCGTATAGGTAGGTAGGTAAGGTATACATATATATATATATCAAACGAGGTCAAAAGAATTTACGACTTACGATCCACGATCAACGATGGAAAGAAATCTTCCTCCCACCGGCTATCAATTTTCATCGACGATCAAAGCGAACGATCATCGAAACCCTTTCCCCACCAACCCTTTCTCTTTGACTATCTGTAATCCTTTCCACCCTTCCCACTTGTTTCCCCATGTCTTTTTGGTTACTAAAATATTGATTATAATACTCTGTTTCAATTAAAACGATTGAACAATATTAGTTTAAACTAAACTTACAAATCTCTGCTACAAATAAAAGTAATGTTCACTTTTTTTCATTTACTTCAAAAGATTATAGGAAAAGAAAAAATGTGTTTTTAAATGAATTAACTTTAATTAAGTTAAATTAATCTGTAAACCTCTCTCTTCACCTACCCTCCTTACCTGTTACCCTCCTATCTGTTTTTGGTTAACTAAAATATTAATTATTTTGTTACAATTACAATGATTGAACAACATTAGTTAAATAAAACATGTAACAAGCTCAAATAATTTTCATTTTCTTTATCTAAATACAAAAAATTAAAAGATAAAAAAAATAAAATACAAGTTAAAAAGTTTGTTTAAAAATAAATACAAAAATTTGTCACATTATTTTCATTTAATCGTTCTTTTGTAAGGAATTCTTATTCTCTATGTTTTACTGAAAAAAAAAAGAAAAAAAGAAATCTACATGCATTAGAATAGAAAGAAAGGAAAGAGAAATGAGTGAAACGAATAAAAAACAAAAAGGAGTAAGAAAAAAAAAATGGAAAAACACGATGAAAAGGAGAGATTTTTTTGAAATTTATCCACGAGTGAAGTCTTCTAAAATGTGTGTATATATATATATATATATATATATATATATATATATTTCTGTTTCTCCGTTTAAAAGATGCACGGATGCACCGATGCATGTGCACGTGCGCGCGCGGGCGTTGGCGCGGAACGCATCATGCCTGACGCGTGGCTAACGACTACGCTAAGAGGTTTAATTAGTCAACAAGAGCACGTTATATGCAACAAAGCTTCTCTATCTCTCTCTCTCTCTCTCTCTTTCTCTTTCTAAAATTTCGAGCTTTCCTTTGCCAGTTGTCCAACTGTTATCCGTTGAAACGAACGTTTTCACCGAGATGCAATTCACATATACGTCATCGTCATCTTTGTGTGTCCATGACGACGTTTTGTATTCCTCTTTTTTTTACTTTTTTGTTTTACTTGAATTCGCGTACATGCAATTTCATAATTTTAAATATCATTTAAATTTTATTAATATTTATATTATACCACATTTTTTGGTTCATTTAAAAGAAACGAATTATTACTATTATCTCCCAATTAATTAGAACATATTAAATAATATATTAAAATATACAAAAAGAGAGAGAGAGAGAGAGAGAGAGAGAGAGAGATAAAAAGAAAGATAAATATTGGAAATATTCAAAAAAATATAATTTATTATAATTGAATTTATTTAATCGAATAATAAAAAATATAAAAAAATATGACAAGAAGTAGATCACACCAATCTCGTTTTCAATCGAATAAAATATGTATTTCTTAATTGAATAAACGTTTTAATAAAAATACAGAAAATAAGATAAAATATAAGATGAAAATATCTTAACAACTAGGTGACAAAAATTCTTTAATCACAAATGAAATACCATTTCCGACAGAGAGAGAAAGAGAGACATTAATCCATTGGAAACCACGACTATTTTCGAACACGGTTCTCTGAAGCCATTTATTTATTTTTTATTACATTATTGCCACTTTACAATGCCAAATGTTGTATTTTTTATATTTTAAAAATACTATCTATATACAAAAAAAAGTCTTATCTTGACTAATACTTTACTCAAAATAACTGATAGTATCTAAGTATTTAGATACACACTCGGTGCAATCGGTTGCACACGGTTGCAAGTGGTCTC